GGTTTTTCTTCTTCACACCTCCAGAATCTTCAGAGATACACATTACTTCCATTTTATTCCAAAGAACTGTTCTTCTCATGAAGAAGGCTGACTACATATCAAGAGATGTTATTCATCTGATACCAGTGGTTAGGATTAATGTAAATTCTTACTGCACCCGAACTCATAAAGGTGCTGTCTGGCGGAAATGGCAAAGCTATCTAGGAACTCACTTCACAAAATATCTTAAGGCAAAGATAAGATTTTTCCTAATGGACTGATTGGCAAATTTATGTGGAAATATTCCTGACTGGGCAGATAATAATAATTAAAAAAAAAAACCCAGAACTACAAAGTGTCCCTCTGCAATGTACTCCTCTGCTTTGGAAAACAGCAGTACAACTGGAAAAGGGATGCATCAGCTCCATTCTCAGGGACCTCCTCTAAGCTGCCTTGATAAGCCTCTTCCGTACCTGGAAGACTATTGGGAGAAATCATTTCTCTTCGCATCTGAGAAACTTATCTTCTAAAGAATGAAGAACTCCTACTGTTCCTCACAGGAGGGGAGAAAAAGGACCAGGTTTACTGTTAGCCGCTCAAGACAGATTGCTCAGTTACATGACCCAAACCTGCCAACCCTACCAAAGCAATCAACTAATTTCTAAAGCAGGTGATCTATGTCTGTCCAGCAAGTCTGATGTGTTCCAGACCTTTTGGTTTTACTGTGCATACTCAGACAGCTCTACTTAGCACATGCGATGAGGCTGACATAGCTGGGATGTAAAGCATTTGCTGCATACTTGCACATCAATCACACATGCACGACAGCTTTGAAAAGAAATGGATCAGACCTGCCAGTGTGGAGTATATCTGATGCACCTCACCACCATTAAAAAAAAAAAATTCTGTGATAACACTCTTATTTCTTCTAAGCAAATGACACGATACTCACTAAGAGGCAAAAACTACTACAGCACCATGCAAAGGTTCTGGAGTTATCCTGTTCAGAATCAGCTCAACAGTACACTGCAGGATATACTAAAATCCTAAAACTGATATTTAAAGTAAAATAAAATTATAACGTACTTCACAAGCATTTCTGAAGAATACAAATCAACTCAATCTAAATAAGCCATATATGACAGCTATGAATTTGTAAATGATACCACACATCAGCAAACTAAATACCTAAGTAGTAATTTAAAAGACAGAATGCAATTCCAAATTTTAGAAATAAATCCAGTAGGTTTCATTATAATACACATTAACAACAGAAATACTTTAATACACTGTAAAATGTACGTGTTCAATTCCTCATGTTAAGTTTGTGTGCTGTGGACAACTGTCTTAAACACATTTATACAGTCGTAACTAAGTTCCTAATTTAACACCCCATTAAGATGAGGTGAAAGGATTCACACCTCTGCCAGTGCTATCATTTCAACTCCATCTCCATCTAGGTGTAGATTCAACAAGACAGCATTCCCCCAATTTACAATGCTGTCAGCCTGGAAGAGTGAACCACTTGTTTCCCTTTGCCCATGCACATACAATCAAAGCGCAGGTGTGCATGCCTGGCTATTTTGTTAATGGCACATCACTCACTAACATGCAGTAAAACTGAATGAATAAAGTAATGGTATTTTCATTATCTGGAGGTATTTCTGAAGAGTGAAATTCAGCTTCTCACTCTACCTCTAAGTAAAGAAAGATATACCAAGTTAAAAATAAAACTTCTATCGAAACTAAAAGGAAAACATCCAAAATTTTACTAAAATAAAATACAGATTTACGTAACATGATATTTTACTGGTAAGTAAATTAATTTCTAGTTGTCTCACTCTGCCACCAAACCTTTCCACTCTGTAGGCAGAACTGGGTATTTAACACACCACAGAGCAGCCTCAGCAGCTTCAGAGATGAGCCAAAAGCTTGCACATGCCCTTGGGTTCTCAGCAGTGAAGACAGTTCCGTAAGATGCAGAAAAAGAGTAGCTCTCCCTGATCTCAGTAAGAGCTATAGATATTCAGCACCTGACTGGGCATTCAGGGAGGGCTCCTCTGCACTAATGATAAATCCTACTCCATTTCTGCCACTGGCAGTCTTCTGACAGTGAAATGGCCATAATTTAGTTGCTTACAGCTGCAGCTATGAAAAGCAGGGAATAAAAAGGTATGCATCCACTGCACAAAGTAGAAACCTGCTATAGCAATGCTTCTCGTTCATCAGTGGGTGCGGAAGGTCCTCTCTCAGGTGTATCTTTTTGTCTGGGATAAAGCCCAGAGAAAACAGCATCTGTGGGGAGCGTGTCTGGAAGCCCAGCAGAAGGCTTCTGCCCCCCTCTGCTCCCACAGCATTACCTTCAGCTGTCCTACAACCAAGCACAAGAATTTTGTCTTCTGCATAACATTAGGAGTTTGCCTCCTGTACTAATTTTGCCCATCCCAAATGCAGAAACCTCAGAGGATTATAGCACACAGGTGATGGGTCTATTCACAAGAACACTGAATTCTGCTTATTTTACTGGGTCTCAGAAAATCTACATTGTTGAGTATCTCGTTACAGAATCAGGCACTCATTGTACATACAGATTACATAAACAAGAAGGTCAATTTTGTTTCAAACCTATATA